GTAGGTGTTCAGAATGGTTTGATCCCTATTCAGCTGAATTCCTGAGACCAGACGAAATCCAGGTCTCCTACTCCTCCGCCATCTTGCTCCGCCCCAAAAATGTCCATTTTCTATTGTATTTTTCATCATAAGGTTCTATTTGGTTTTCTCTATCTTCTGTTTTTCTCCTCATTATGTTCATTTCTTCCTTTATATTCTTGCACATGTTTATAAGATTTAAAATACCTGTTTTAAGTTCTTATCTACTCTTTCCAACAACAATTTTTATATCTGCTCTCATTGACTTATTTTTCACATTATGGATCTTATTTTCCTATTTCTTTGCATGACTGATATCTTTTATTGGATGCACAACTATGGATTCTGTGTTCTAGAGTACTTAATTTTGTTCTTTATGTGTATATATTAGATATTTTCTGTGGCTTTGGAGCCCCCTTAGCCTCTATTTCTTTTTTTTTTCTCTTTATTTTTTATTATGTTCAATTAGCCAACATATAGTACATCATTAGTTTTTGATGTAGTGTTGAACGATTCATTAGTTGCATATAACACCCAGTGCTCATCACCACATGTGCCCTCCTTAATACCCATCACCTGATTACCCCATCCCCCCACTCCCCTCCCTTCTGTAACCCTCAGTTTGGTTCCTGGAGTCCAGAGTCTCTCATGGTTTGTCTCCCTCTATGATTTCTTCCCATTCAGTTTTCCCTCCCTTCCCCTGTGGTCCTCCATGCTCTTCCTTATGTTCCACATACGAGTGAAACCATCTGATAATTGACTTTCTCTGCTTGACTTATTTCACTTAACATCATCCCCTCCAGTTCCATCCAAGTCGATGCAAATGGTGGGTTTTCATCCTTTCTGATGGCTGAGTAATATTCCGTTGTACATATGAACCACATCTTCTTTATCCATCATCTGTGGAAGGACAGCTCGGCTGTTTAAATATTGTTTGCCTGTGTCTGATTTGCAGGTAAGTGACTTACAAATTAGTTTGATGGGTTTTTTAAGGTTGCTTTTAAGTGTTCTTATGATGGGCCCAAAACAGTGTTTATTATAGGTCTAATTTATCCTTATTTTTAAAAGTGTAACTTGATTAAGTTTTCCCAATATCATGTGTAACTAGTTATTCCTAGCCCTGAATTAACTCCAAGAATTCATCCTACTGCTTTCTGGTAGTTCTTTCCCTAGCTTTGGGTAGATTTTTCTCATGCATACACAAACCAGAACCAAAGTCTCAAGGGGGCTCTCTATAGATCTTCAGTCATTCTTTCTGTCTCTCTCTCAGTACAGTTTCCTCTTTGACATTCTAGCTACCTGGGCCCACTGAGCTCCAACCTCTGTGTCTTCAACTCATTAAGACACCTGGGCTTTCTTTTGGGTCCATCTTCCTGCACTGTGGCTTGGAAATAGTCCTTCTCTCAAGGATCACAGCCATGAGCAGCCTTTTGTTTAATGTTTGAAAACCATTGTTTTATATATTTTGGCTGACACTGTAGGTTATTTCTGGTAGGAGGGTAATTCCTATAGCAGTTAGTCATGCATGGGCAGAAGCAGAAATAATGTAGGACCTCCAGAAACAGTATGAATACCTATTTAAATGTAGTTATTAAATAAGCAATCTAGCTCTCTTATGGCCAGTAACTATTTGATGTCCTAGGCTTCATCTTTCTCCCATCTGTAAAATATATATGTAATGAGATAAGATTTAATAAGTCAGTGGATATTAAGTCATCATATATTATCCTAAAATGTCCACAATTTTAAGTTTCCCACTGTAGCCATCATTTACTGCATATATATATATGTGTATATATATATATATATATATATATATAAAATTCCATTGACCAATATCTGTGGCCTATGCATTCATAGTGAATTTTCTCACACAAAGATTCTGCCAGCCCAGTCTGTAATGAAACTTAAAAAAAAAAAAAAAAATTGAAGAATGGTCATCTGCGACCAAAAGCCTGGTAGAGACAAATATGTGTATGACCTCAGGTTCACTGATATAGTGCTCTAGTCAAATATGTCTAGAATTGACATGTACACAACTGTAACTATTCATAGCACTAGACATTTTTATATTATTGGACACTCAATGACTTGTCTGTGCTGTTTCAGAATTCAAGCTACTAGAAGACAGAATGTTATGGATTAAGGCACAGAGTATCCAGATTCTAATATGTTATGATAATGCAGTACAAAAGAAAGGTCATGATATATTCACTGGGAGCCTAATTTTTATGCTAGGTTTCCCTGACCTCTAATCTTTAAACTGGAACAATAAACAAAAAATTTAAAGGTGAATTAAAAAACCATTTAACCATACTGTTTATTTCTAGTTTTTTAATTTAAAATGAGTTAAGTAATGATATGGGATTGTTAGTTTCAGAAGATTCCGTTTATTTATTATAGGACTTCATATCAAAATTCATCATTTCCTACAAACACAGGGTTAAAATATTTACAAAAGGACAAATTTTCTACCAGGAGGTTTAAAAGGCTGGGAAACTACACTATAAACACACACCCACATACACAGATATAAATAAATGTATTATATGTATTAAATAGAATGGAAAGAAGTAGAGTTTGATAATAATTACTTGGCTTAAAAGCCTGAAAACATTGTACAGGCATATAGTAAGGAGGTTTTGGATGTATTATCAAAATGCATTGCATAGAAATTTAATGTAGTTGCTATAGAATGATCTATGATTGAAACCATGTGTGGAGAGTATGGGCTTCTGCAAGATGTGTTGCAGCAACAAAGGCTCTAAAGATGTATTTGTGCTGCCTGCTATGTGCAGATGATTGACTTAGATACACTTCCCAGACATAAACAGCATGCTATCAAATAGAGATGGAGAATGCTTACCACATTGTACAAGCTTATGCACCAATGTTCAAATATAATCTGCCCAGAAAATCCATTAACAAAGGCAAACCAAAGCTGAAAGAGAAGAAAGTTCAAGAAGTTTTATATTGACCTAAGTGTTTCCATTCATTGAAGTACTTTATCATTCTTTTTTTTTCCATGTCATCAAATGGGATTTTACCAAAATGTAAATAAAATCAAGCTTGAGTATTTGAGCCTAACAGAAAGCCAGTCCATTTATTTTAGAATTTTTATTTCATTCTTTGTTACTGTACTGTCTCTATCAAAAAATAATTTCAATGAAATATTTAGATCTCATTGTCCAATAATGCATTGCTTCAGTAAAGAATGATATTGAGTTGTAAAGGTTCAGAATGATTTTGTCTATGGCTTCAACAAATTGTAGCATCTGCAACTAATAATATTTGTAACTGGCCCAGCCAAAGAAAGGAGAACTCCTAATTCAAAAAGATCTGTGCCCCTCTATGTTTATTGCAGCATTATTTACAATAGCAAAAATGTGGAAGCAACCTAGGTGTTCATCAATACAAGAATGGATAAGGAGGTTATATACACTCACATATATATATGTATATATCCAATGAAAGTATGAGATTCCACCATTTGCAACAGCATGGATGGATTTTGAGGATATTCCTCTTTGACACGAGTTTGTAAGTGTTACTTTTTGGAAGAGTTTGAGGAAGATTGGTGTTAATTTTTCTTTGAATGATTGGTATAATTTTCCAGGGAGGTGTTTGATTGCTGATCTCATCTCCTTATTATAGTCTATATTTTCTATTTCTTCATTATTTGCCCAGCTGATTTTTGACAAAGGTGGAAAATCAATTTAATGGAAGGATGACCTTTTCATCAAATAGTACTGAAGTAATTGGATCTACATAGGCAAAATAACTAGACAATCTAAACCCTCCACTGCACACAAAAATTAACTGAAAATGAACCATGACATTAAGTGTAAAACACTTTTGGAGAACTACATAGAGGAAAATCTTTGGAATCTAGAGCTAGGCAAAGAGTTTTTTGACATAGAACCAAAAGCATGATCCATAAAAGGAAAATATATAAATCAGACCACATCAAAATTAAAAACTTTTGTACTCCGAAAGACTATTGAGACGACAAAACAACATGATACAGACTGGAAGAAAATATTTGCAAACTACTTACCTGCCAGAGGACTAACATCTAAAATATGTGAACTCTCAAAACTTAAGAGTGAGAAAACAATGCAATTAGAAAATGGACAAAAAATATGAAGACACATTTCACTGAAGAAGATATGAAGATAGCAAATAAGTACATGAGAAGATGTTCAACATCATTAGCCCCTACGGAAATGCAATTTAAAACCACAGTGACGTATCACTACCCATCTATCAGAATGGCTAAAAAAATAGTGATAACATCAAGTGCTGGTAAAGATCCAGAGAAACAAGATAACAGATGCTTTGCTGGTGGGAACTGAAAATGGTAAAATCCCTCTGGAAAATAGTTGGCAGTTTCTTTTAAAACTAAACATGCACTTCCCATATAATCCAGCAATTGTACTCTTGGATATTTGTCCTAAATAAGTGAAAACTTGTGTTTGCACAAAACCTACACACAAATGCTCTTCAACAGGTGGATGATAAATGTTATGGTAAGGGAACAAATGATACAGGGAATAACTTGTATCGATCTCAAGGGAATTATACTGACTGAAAAAATCCGATCTCAAAAGGTTATAATACTACATGATTCCACTTTCATAACATTCTTGAAAGAACAAACTTACCAGGATAGGGAACAGATTAGTCACTGTCAGGGGTTAGGGATGGATGTGGCTATAAAGGGATAGCATGAGGGGGATCCTTGTGGTGAGGGAACAGGTCTATATCATTGGGGGAGGGTTGGGGAGGGCAAGAGGCCTCTGCCTTGATTTCTATGGTGTTTACATCAATCTACGTGTGTATAAAAGTACACAGAATCACACACACAGGTATGTGTAAAGCTGGTGAAATATGAAAAATCTCTGTTGGTTATATCCTGGTTTTGGTATTGTCCTGGAGTTATTCCAGGTGTTCTTTAGGGAAAATTGGGTGAATGTTTCACAGGACCTCCTAAAAATATTTTTGTAACTTCCTGTGAATCTATAATTATTTCAAAATAAAATATTTAAAAATATATTTCCATAGCCAAATTAAAGGCTTAACAAGTATTTTTTAAGTCAGGATGGTGGGGTTAGAAGATTCAAATTTACTGAATAACTTAGAGTGAAAACCTAAAACAGAATTATGTAATGGTAATTTAAGTGATACAAATATGGGGGGAAAAAACCCTAAACTACCAACCCTGATGTCAAAGAAAGACCTAACTTTTCCCTGAAAGAAGGTGTACCTCTTTTCTTACCTCAATAATGTATAACACTACATTTTTGTAGAAACAATACAATATGCATTTCGTCACTCGAAAATGATTCCAAGCTCCATGAACCAACAGAAGCTTCTCCAAGTAGCTAAACTAAAAGAAGGAAACAACAGTCATTTGCAAGTTCAAAGGGACCTACCAGTTAGTGACAAAACCCACAAAAACGTCATTTTCTCAGCATTTCACATTTCAGAGTTTCCACTCTAGAAAATATAACACAGAAGGAAGCAGAGTGAAACCAGTTTCACAGACAACCTGACATGGCAGTTCTCTATAAAGAAATTTTTTTTAAAGCTTTATAAAATTCACCTCTCTTATCACTAAAACAAATCTTTTTGACATCGTATTTTTTTTTGCCCAGTAAATGCCGCTTAGATTTTCACTTGGAACATGCAAGACTTTTAATCTGATGCACATCTAGGACTTTAATCATAGTAATGGGACAGACTTATTTAATGAAAGGAACATCCTATTAGAAACAAGAACTCAGGCTAAATCACTCATCTTTTTTTTTTTAATGTGTGATCAGGTATAAGTAACAAAATCTTACAGGAATCAGTTCCCCACTTCGTATAATAAATAAAAAGTTAAAAATGAAGGTTACATGCAGCTTCTGCAGTGTTGTGAACCTCCTTACCCTCATCTACATACATACTTTCATAGCAGTTATTACCTTCTAACAAACGACAGGCACTACTGTATATTTTTGTTTCCTACAATGGAAGCTCTGTGAGAGTAGGTCTCATTGTTGACTTTACTGATGAATCCTAAACACCCAGCAACATGCCCAAAATATGGTATTCGCTCAGTGAACATTTTTTTGAACGACTAGTCAGGAGAGTTATTCCACAAAATGAAGTAATTCAGTAATTTAATGACTCCTGGAATTAAATACTCACTTCAAAGTGGCACCAGGTGGTAAATATGAAAAACTTTAAACTTTCAAAAAAAGAGCACTTAAGATTTTGGATCATGAGAGAGCAGGATGGGGAAGAAGATGCTCAGTGAATTAAAGAAAGGTTTTTGTTCGTTTATAACCAGAACTTGATATTAAACTTGAGTCACTATAGAAAACATTCCTATTGCCTCAGTGTTTAGCTTTGCAGTGGTTGAAAGTCAGAGTTCCATTTCTTGGGATGACTTAAAAATATTAAGAAATTTGGAGAAGAAAGTGAATAATTTACACTTTTCAGAGAATAAAATGACCAGGTTATGAGTAGAATGTTATACTGATATACTCTGAAAAGGGAAATTTCTTCATTACCCAGAAAGAGCAGAGTAAAAGACATTTGTTTGACCACTGCTGCAGAATACATATGAAAGGCTGGAGGCAGATGGGGCAGAAATGGGAAAATTTCCACTTACAGTTCTGGGAATAAGATTCATTCTGCAAAAGTATAAGATGGCACACATCACTGGCAGAATACCTTCTCCCCCTCTATGGTCAAAGCTGCTCTTGGGTCAAATCAAATCAATCTCCTGCATTAGTGGCTGTCTTGGTGTGGCACTTTAGGGGTGGGTGGAAGGAAGAAGAGAAAACTTAGAAGGTCTGTTCCAAGATGGTGACACAGGAAGACTCTCAACTCAGACCTCCTTCATAGACACACCAAATTTACACATGTTTACATAGGAATTCCTCCAGAGGGCTGACTGAATAGCTTCTGCACCACAAAAGATAGATGGAGACACAGTAAGAAAACGAATCCCCACCCCTGACACTGCAAACTACAGTGGGGAGCAACAGCAGTACTTAAGGACCATGAGTGGATTCATCTGCCCTGGGGTGCAGGAAAAAAGCCACAGTCTAAAAAGGTAACTAGAATATAAAGGAACCAGCCCCAGAACCCTCCCAAACAGCAGAGGAGCCCCTAGAACTCTCTCCAGGTTAGAAGGGCTAATGAGTACCATCGTTTGTGTGGGGAAAAAAAAAAAGCGCCACAGTTTAAAAGAGCAACTAGAATATAAAAGAGCCAACCCTAAAACTCTGACAAATAGTGTGGGGAGCTGCTAGAAAACTCTAGGTTGGAGGGACTGCTGGGTGCCACAGTTTGTTCCCTTTCCACCTTGATAGTGTAGATGGGAGAATACTTTGGGTGCCCTAGCCAGTCTATGACCTCAGTGAGCCCTAGGCCCCTAGCCCACATCAGCCCAACTGTCCTACCAAGGTGGCCCCAGCATGGCACACACTGGGACAACCCAGGTCAGCACTCACTACAATGCCAGCCATCACACCAAGGTGACACAGGAGCAAAGCACCCCAGAACACTCCTGGCCCACACCAGTTTGGTTCTGCACCACTCACCAGGGTATACCCTGAGCAGAGTGCCCTGAGAACCCCTTGGGCCATACACACCTCAGCTCCAACCACCCTACACAGAGAGCCTAGGAACCTATAGCTTGAGCCTGCATTTGCACCAGCTATCTGCCAGGGTGCCCCCTGTGTGGAGTACCCAAGGACACTCAGCTTATATGCACTTCAGCTTCAGCTGTCCTTCCAGGACACCCTCAGCATAGAGAGACCTAGGAACATCCTGTTACATGCCTAGTTCAGCTCAGGCCATCCCACCAGGGTAGCTCTAGCAAAGAATGCCTTGGGAATCCCATCCCATGCCAGGCACAGCTCCAGCCAGGCAGCCAAAGTGACCAGGCACACATAGTCTACATAAGGGACAACCATACACAAGACCATTTCCTTAAGTTTAGGAGAAGCAGCTGTTCTGCCTAATTCATAAAAACAAACACAGAGAACCAAGTAAAATGAGAAGACAGAGAAATATGAAAGAACAAGACAAAAACCTAAAAAAGAGAAAGAACAAAACAGAGATAACCAACCTACCTGATAAAGGGTTTAAAGTAATGGTCATAAAGATGTTTACCAGACTAGAGAAAAGAGTGGATAAACTCAGTGAGACCTTCAACAAAGAAATAGAAAATATAAAAAAAGAACCAATCAGGGTTGAAGAATACAAAAAAAAAAAACTAGAAAAAAAATACAATAATTGAAATAAAGAATACACTAGAGGGAATTGAGGGTAGATTAGAGGATGCAGAAGAATGGATCAGCAATGATAAAGGGATCAATAAACAAGAGGATATAATTGTAGTTATCTATGTACCCAACATAGGAGCACCTAAATAAAGCAAATATTAATAGACACAAAGGGAAAACTTGATAGCAATATAATAGTAGGGGACTATAACACCCCACTCATATCAATGAATAGATCATCCAGGTAGAAAATGAGTAAGGAAACAGTGTCTTTGAACAACACATTAGACCAGACGGACTTGACATATACAGAAAATACCATCCAAAAACAACAGAATACACATTCTTTTCAAGTGCACATGGAACATTCTCCAGGATACATCATGTTAGGCCACAAAAGAAGCCTAAATAAATTTAAGAAGATTAAAATCATACCAAGCATCTTTTTTGACTACAACTGGTATGAATGAAGCTAGACATCAATTACAAGGAAAAAAACAAAACAGAAAAAGCACAAACATGTGGAGGCTAAACAATATGGCACTAAACAGCCACTGGGTCAATGAAGAAATCAAATAAGAAATTAAAAAATACATGGAGGAGATAGTCCAAGATAACAGAGGAGTAGGAGATCTTAGTATTGTCTGGTCCCAGGAATTCAGCTAGATAGCTATCAAATCATTCTGAACACCTGTGAACTCAATCAGAGATCTAAGAAAAGATCAGCTGAAACTCTACAAATAGAAATCTACCACATTCTGCAAGAATGACAAGACAGAAAAATTCACCTCAAAAAGAACAAGAAAAAAAAAAAAGAACAAGGAGCAGTACTGACTGCCAGGGACCTAATCAGTATGGATGTAAATAAGATATCAGAACTAGAGTTCAGAATAATGGTTACAAAGATACTAGCTGGGCTTGAAAAAAAAGCATAGTAGACACTAGAGAATCCCTTTCTGGAGAAATAAAAGAACTAAAATCTAATCAAGTCGAAATCAAAAAAGCTATTAATGAGATGCAATAAAAAATGGAGGCTCTAACTGAGAGGATAAATGAGGCAAAAGAAACAATTAGTGATATAGAAGACAAAATGATGGAAAATAAAGAAGTGAGAAAAAGAGATAAACAACTACTGGATCATGAGGGGAGAATTTGAGAGATAAGTGATACCATAAAGAGAAACAATGTTAGAATAATTAGGATCCAAGAAGAAGAGGAAAGGAGGGGGGCAGAAGGTATACTGGAGCAAGTTATAGTGGAGAACTTCCTAATCTGGGAAAGGAAACAGGCATCAAAATCCAGGAGGCACAGAGAATCCCCTTCAAAATTACTAAAAATAGCTCAACACCTCAACATATAATAGTGAAACTTGCAAATCTCAGAGACAAAGAGAAAATCCTGAAAGCAGCTTGGGACAAGAGGTCCATAACCTAAAAGGGTAGAAACATCAGACTGGCAGCAGACCTATCCACAGAGATCTGCCAGGCCAGAAAGAACTGGCATGATATATTCAGGGTACTAAATGAGAAAAATATGCAGCCAAGAATACTTTATCCAGAAAGGATGTCATTCAAAATAGAAGAGATAAAAAGCTTCCAGGACAAACAGAAACTAAAAGAATTTGTGATCACTAAATCAGCCCTGCAAGAAATATTAAAGGGGATCCTTTAAGCAAAGAGAGAGCACAAAAGTAACATAGACCAGAAAGGAACAGAGACAGTGTACAGAAACAGTGACTTTACAGGTAGTACAATGGCACCAAATTCATATCTTCAATAATTACTCTGAATGTAAATGGACTAAATGCTCCAGTCAAAAGGAGGAATCAGATTGGATAAAAAAACAAACAAACAAAAAAACTAAAAAAAAAAAAAAAACAAGACCCATCCATATGCTGTCTACAAGACTCATTTTAGACCCAAAGACACCTCCAGATTGAAAGTGAGGGGGTGTAAAACCATTTATCATGCTAATGGGCATCAAAAGAAATCTGAGGTAGCAATTCTTATATCAGACAAATTAGATTTTAAACCAAAGACTATAATAAAAGATGAGGAAGGACACTATATCATAATTAAAGGGTCTATACACAAGAAGATATAAC